GCTAATTTTATTCCTGCTCTCCCTCTTTTCTGCAGGCTCCTTCTGAAACTTTGCTCTGGTGTAGGCTCTGGAGCTGTTTCTATCTACTATAGCCACCCTCAACTACTCCACAGAAATTGTAGTTTATGCCATTCTGTCTGCTAGTTAAGCTGTATGTGTGGGCTAGAGGTGGTTTTCATTTATTCTTCTTGTTAGCCTGTGTGCTTTTTAGAATACATGTGAAAAATTTGGAACTACTATTAATTCTACAGAGTATGCCATTAATTTTAAAAGTTTTTTAATATATATTGCTACCCAAACCAAATGATATAATTTCAAAATATATTTAATAAATTATGCTAATATTTTCAGAATTTGAAATAAAGTTGTTCCACTTAGTAAATGAGAAAAACTAGGAAAAAATCCATCTACATACTAAAGATATTATAAATATTTTGATTTTAATATGTTAATCTAAAATAAACATATATAACAAAATTATATTCCATCATATATAAAATATTTATTTAAAATCATATGAGGAATTTGAAAGACTAGATGTAGTCATTCCTCAGTATTCGTGGAAGACTGGTTCAAGGACCCACGTATGTGAAAATCCTCACATACTCAAGTCCCACTGTTGGCTCTCTGGCACCCAGTATAGGAAAACTCAGCTCTCCATATAGGTTGGTCTTGCATCTCTCAAATACTATATTTTCAATTCCCATTTGGTTGAAAAATATATGCCTATAAGTGGACCTGCACAGTCCAAACCTGTGTTGTTCAAGGGTCAATGATATTTCTGTTTTAAAAAAAAGGAAAAATCTGGAAAATTTTCTTTATAGGATTCTGCCAATATAGTTCAAAATGAATTATTTGACATGCACTGTGAAATCCCAGGATGGAGACCCAATGTAAATAAAAATAATTCTTGGGAATGCCCCTTTGATAAATTGTGAGTAGTTCACTGAGATATCAATACCTGATGTTTTTTTACTTCATTTTCTAGTTGATGGTTTAAGTGTTTGATTTCTAAATGTTCCCTAGTAAAGGTACACGATTATATGATTTCTAAAGGTTTCTTAGAGTTCAGATGACAGTAGATACACAGTCAAAACATTCAATAGTGAGGTTAGGAATTTTGGGTTTGCAGTCTGACAGGTCTGGATGCAAGCTCAGCACAACAATCATTCCTTGAGCTTGGGCAACCTAACTTCTTTTAACTTTGGTTTTCTCATCAACACCATGAACATAATAATAATATAGTACCACTTTGTATGATTACTGGAAAGACTAGTGGAAAGCTTTGACATGTGATCAAAAGGGATGCATTTGCTTTTATGAGCAAAGTGATATCTTTGGATACAGTGGTTAACTTCATTTTACTACTCATTTACGCACTATACATGCAAAAAAAATCTTGGAAAGGCCCCCTTAAAAATTCCCTTCAATTTCCTTGTGTGGATTGCCATTGTCGAAAAAAATAGTTATAAATAAGATGAAAAGTTCTTTGGAGGGAAAAATGAGTTACAAGTCACACTATGCCATTTCTGCATAATTCTTTTTGCTCTACAATTCTTTTTTGCAGGCTTATTACTTGTTGATGCCTAACCTTTATGCTGACTGGCCAACTGCTCTTTACTAACCACTCACCAAGTGTTTGCATTTACAAAGCTAAATTAACAAAGGATAAAAAAGGACATACTGTATGCTGATAAGGGCAGTGGGAAATCTACCTCTGTTGTTCCATAAATTAATATTGCTATATTAGAGACAGAAATGACCTCAGGAGTTCTGCAGGGCTTTGCCCTGAAGGAATATGTGAATGTGTTAGTTCTAATATCAAAAGCTGCCTTGCCTCAGGAGGGGATCTCAAAGGTCAGTGGCAGATGCTTGCCAAGTGACACTGCAGTCTCAAACCTGTAAGCAGGTTTGCATGGATCCAAGGGATGAGAGCTGATCAAAGAGTGCCTGTCCAAGAGACAGACATCTGTGGCTAAAAGCAATTAGCCCCAGGGACAGTTCCTGCTTGACTCCTGACTACCTGTCTCCATTCACAATAATTAGATAAAGAAATATGGAACCACTATATCTGTTTAACCCTTCTGCTAAGTGATAGCTTTATCTTAGGACTTAAAAGTTGGTCTTTGAAAAATTTTGTAACCATTTGCTCATGTAAACAGAGTTAATTAAAGGGATCTATAGAAGTCTTTTAACCTAAAACTACCTGTTATGTAAACCTGTTACCCCTGGTAACCAATCTCAGTACCTATAAATACCCATATAAAACTTTACTCTGGGCTTCACAGTTCACGGAAATACTGTGGGGTCTCCCAAGCTCCCCCTTTGTAAATCTGTATCTATAAAACTGTACCTTCATCTCTGTGTATTCTTTAATTTCTGTATTATATTATTTTCTATTATTTCCTTATCTTTTTGGAAGACCCCTGCCTAAGGGACCCAACTTTTTGCTGGAAGTGTAGTTAACTCCCCTCATACCTCTAAATTTGAGAAGCCATGGTTGGTGAAGGGAAAGTGTGGCTAAATTTCCTATGTATGTATGGATCTGTGTCTTAAGAGGCTGCTTGAGTCTTGCTCATTAATATGTTGATAGGAAGCTCCTTAGGAATGTCTCAATTAAGTGGTCACATTTAAGGGGAGAATAGGAATAAATTACTCTTATTTGTTTAGCAAAAATTGCAGAGGCAGGTTAATAATGGGTGTATGTGTTGGGATGGAGGAATGTACCAAGACTGCCTGCCCTGTCTACAAGCTGACTCTAAAGTTCATGAAGAAATTCAGAGAGCTAAGAATAGGAACAGATATGAAGAAGGCCTTACATCCAATATCAAGATCCATTATATATTTAGGGTGGTATTGGTGTAAGAATAAACAAGCTGATCAGTGAACAGAATAGAGTCAAAAAACAGATTCATACATATATTGTGAACTAAAATAAAATTTTAAGCCTTACCCCCCCCCCCCACCATGGGCTGACTGAAGGAATGGACCACCTGTGGCCAAAGGAATATATATCCTAAAGCTAAATTGCCTCCTAGGAGGAGGGAGGTCAGACAAGCCTCATCATGCCCTCCTCCCTTCTTGGGGACATCCTTTTGTAACCCATTAACAGGCCTAAGGGTATGCATGGCAAACCTGCAGGTCCTCAATTTACACAACAAATCTATGTCCAGTGGTTTATCTCTGATAACAGCTCCTTATGTTAAAATATTCCAAGCCTTTAGACAAAGCTTTATGTCTTTAACCAATTACAAGCCAAAGAATCTTTAAACCCACCTATAACCTGTAAGAACCACCCCCTTCAAGATGTCCCACCTTTTTGGGCCAAACCAATGTATGTATGCCTCCCACATATTGATTTATGACTTTACGTGTAATGGTCTCCCTAAAATGTATAAAATCAAACTGTAATCCAGCCACAAGTCCACTTACTCAAGGCCTCTTGGGAGTGGCTCTGGGTCATGGTCTTCAAATTTGGCTCAGAATAAATTTCTTTAAAATTATTTTACAGAGTTTGGCTTTTTTCCCTTGACAATATGATCACCTGACAAAGGTAAAACTGATCATATAACAAACATAAAACTGGTATAGCAAGGAAGACATGGCTTTTCTCAATAAATGGTGATGGGAGAGCTGGAAATCCATAAGGAAAAACTTTTACCTTAAACTTTACCTCTTATTATTAACAAAAATCAATTCAGTAAGGTTTCAATCTTAAATGTGAAAGATAAAAAATTTTTTGAAGAAAGCATAGAACACTTCATGACCTTGGAATAAACATTAAGCAAAATATGCTTACTATAAAGGAGAACATCAGTAAATTGTACTACATCAAGAGGTTTTTCATCAAATATAGCTCACAGTACATTCAACAAAGGACTTGTACCAGAATAGAAGGATACACACATATGTGTGTATATATCTTTTTTTTTTTTTTTTTGAGACAAGAGTCTTGCTCTGTCACCCAGGCTAGAGTGCAGTGGCATCATCATAGCGCACTGTAACCACAAACGTCTGGTCTCAAGAGATACTCCTGCCTCAACCTTCCGAGTAGCTGGGACTAAAGGCGTGAGCCACCAGGCCCAGATAATTTTTTATATTTTTAACAGAGATGCGGTCTCACTTTTAATCAGGATGGTCTCAAACTCCTGACCTCAAGTGATCCTCCTGTCTTGGCCTTCCAGAGTGGTAGGATTATAGGCATGAGCCACCACATCCAGCCTATTTTTAAAAACTAACATGTCAGTATAAAAAAGATAAGTCAACTCCTTCAAAAATTGGCAAGAACTTCAACAGCTATTTCACACAGGGACAAACTCAAAGGCCAATAAGCACAGGAAAAGTGCTCAATCTCATTAACAATTGGTGAAGTGAAAACTAAGGCCACAAGACACTACATGCTCATTACATACCCACCAGAATAAAAGGGACAAGTGGACTTTGGAAAGTTGTCAGTATTTATTAAAGCTGAACATGATGTACTATGACCTTGCAATTCCATTCTTAGTCCATTTAGTGTTGCTATAAAAGAATACCTGAAGCCTGGGTGATTTATAAGAAGAGGTTTACCTGACTCACAGCCTGCTTTCTGGTGAGGACCTCAGGCTGCTTCCATTTATGGTGGAAGTGGAAGGGGAGCTGGCATGTGCAGAGATCACACAGCTGAGGGGGGGCAGCACCAGGTTCTTTTTAATCAGATCTCACAGGAACTAAGCCAGCAAGAAGGCAGGCACTCATACCCTCAATTCTGGGGGGCATTAATCTATCCATAAGGTATCTACCCCCATGACCCTAACACCTTCCATTAGGCCCTACCACCAATACTGGGGATCAAATTTTAATACAAGATTTAGAGAGGACAAACATCCAAACTACCAGTATAGCCCAAACTACAGCCCAATCCTAAACAGAAATTTGTACCCATATACACCCAAATTGATGTACTAGAATATATGGAGCAGTACTAACAGTTCCTAAATGGGAAATGAACCAAACGTCTATTGGATAAATAGTATGTGGTTTATTCACACAATGGAATACTATACAACCATGGAAAGGAAGGACCATGTACAAATACATGCGACAAAAGTCTCACAAACAATATTGAGGGAAATAAGCCAGGTACAAAGAATGCATGTTTATTTCCATTCATGTAACATCCAAACCCAGACAGAACTCCTCTATGCTCTTAGAATTCAGGATAGTGGTTACCCTTGGAGAGGTAGTAACTGAAAGGGAACCGGATAGGAGCTTCTGAGGTTCTGATTGTATGCAGGTGACCCATTTTGGAAAAATAACTGACACTGTTTGTATGGATGTTACACTTAAATAAAATGTTAAACAAAACAATTTGCCTCTGGATACTTGGACTGAAGAAATGTTTCTTTCTTGGCCTCTCCCCTTGCCCACACTCTCACACTCTTAACTGCCACTTCCAATGGTGAGAGTAGGAAGAGAACCACTCTCCCTTGCAGACTAAACTAGATTTGCTACAGGACTAGCTGCTAAAGGAGCAGGGCTACCAAACTATGAAAACCAAGTCTATTTTTGCTTCCTGCCAGTATGCTCAAGTCTCTCCTGCTTTCTCTACCCTCTCTCAACAAAACTTCTTACTCAGCAATAAATGCTCCTCTCGGCAAACATTTAAGTAAGTGTAACAAAGTTCTGAATCAAAACAGTAGAGCTCTAATAGTTAACATCTGGAGTTGCAGGCAGTGGATAGGCAAGGCTGGGCCTGATACCCTTGGAGATACTGAACATGCTACTGGAGGACATGCCTAACTTGGGGTGGGGCGTTAAAATCCTGGCCCTATCCTGAGCACATCTATAGCCTCTCTATGCCTTGGTTTCCTCATCATTAAAATGTGGATAATGGTGCTTACCTCATGGAGCTGTTACAAGGATCAAAATGAGTTAACCACGTGTAAAACATTTAGAATAGTGATTACTATAAGGTAGGAGCTTAATAAATGTTAAGTATATAATAAAGTAAGTTCAGCAGTCATTACATTGGTTGCCTTCAAAGATTCAGGAATGTTTGTTTTGTCAAAGGGCACAAAATTAAAAAACTTACCAGGTATGGCAGTATTTGATATACTAGCAACTAGGGAGGTTGTAACATTATAAACTTATACCTCCTATTTGACCACTAAACATCACAGGTATTTTGGTACAACTTCTATTACTGGGCCTTGGTCCCTGGATCTGGCCTCTACAAACCTAGAGACCTTTGCAGTGACTAGCTCAAGATAACCCAAACATACAAAGCCTGAGAAAATAATGTTCAGTAGCTAATGTTTCACTCTGTAGGCAGACCTATATAAGAAGCCAAATCTTCATCAGGATATTTAAATATTTATCAAAATAACTTAATGGCAATAAGCTATGTGAGGCTGAAGAATAAATTCTTAAAGAGCTAATGGGTCTGAAAACCTGGACATTTCATGGCTAACAATGCTTTTTCTGCTTTTCTACTGTTGACCAATAGCACACCCTGCCTCAAAGCCTGTCCCACTTTGTATGCTTCTGCTCTGATCCTATGTGAACATGTGAAGTCAAACAGCAATCCTATTTCCTCAACTCCCAAGTGTAGGTGGGGGAAGCAGACTAGGAAATCCACTGTACCCATCAGTCTTTCCACAGATGCATTAACATAAGTGAGGGTCTCTACCCAGTAATTTTTCTCACTGCAGGCAAACTTCTTTGGGGAGTTACACCATACCCAGAGTGCATGGTGGGTGCAGGAGGGCCCTGCCTGACAGTGCGGTGCGCAAGTTACTCTCTGGCAGGCTTATGAATCTCTCTGCAGGTTAGCCCCAGATATAGCAGCAAATGGCCAGCTTCTCTTCCTGAACCCTGTGGCTACTAGTGCCACTCCTTGAGTATATTCTAGGCCCAAAGAATTCAATGTTAGCATTCCTGGTTATAGCAAAATCCAGCCATGTTCCCAGGCCAATCATCCCAATCTCCAGTTCTTCAATTCCCACAAATGGCTGATTTGATCTTCATTTCTAATTCACTCTTGGATGATAAATCTGCGTGGCAGCATTGGGAGTGCCCTGTGGCCACTTCCAGGAACCACCTACTTCACTGAGCTTGGTATAACAGGCACTCTTCCTGGCCTCCCAGTGGAAAGCCATACCCCTTGAGTAACAGTTACCAATTTTTTAAATGGAAAACCAAACAGTCAGAATGTGGAATGTTTAGGGGGAGAGAACTACCAGCCTTCACCTTGTTGATGGGAGAGAGTGGGCAGGGGCTAGCTTTTCCAGTCCTTTCCTTGACTCTTCTTGAGCCACTGACCAGATAATTGCAGCAAGGAAGAACAGATAAGGCAACCGGCGAACAAAGCTCAAGGAAAAAGGTGGCTGCCTGAGCTCAGTGCCCTGTAGGCTCCGCATGAGCCTCTCCCACACCTAGAACAGCTGGCTCAGTTCCCAGAGCCCCTGTGCAGATCCAGTCTGGCTCCCTGTTCCTTTCTAGTCACTAAAGGCCCTAGGAACTCCACCTTTCTGTTCTCTCTGCTTTGTATTACCACCAGTTACTCCATCCTTTGGGAGATTCTTCTCTTCCCAAAATTACCCATGTAATGTAATATATATATATCAAAATAACTTAATGGCAATAAGCTATGTGAGGCTGAAGAATAAATTCCTAAAGAGCTAATGGGTCTGAAAATTTGGACATTTCATGGCTAACAATGCTTTTTCTGCTTTTCTACTGTTGACCAATATCACACCCTGCCTCAAAGCCTGTCCCACTTTGTATGCTGAAAGAGCATACAAAGGGCTGAAAGAGGCTACAAATACAAGCATTACTATTACTGTTTAACTAAGAGCATTAAATGAGAACAACAGGAAATAATGATGAAGCTTTCTGTACCTACCAAACTATCAAAATACTTCTGGCCCTTCCCTAGAACTAAAATGAACCCAAATATGTAAAAGAGCTCCTCTCCCCTTCTCCACCTCTCCTGCACCATTACCCAGCCTTTCCTAGCTAATAGCAACCACCAGGGTCAGATGTATTATTATTTATTTCCCATATGACTTAAGGTAAATCATTACTACAGCAAAAAAAAAAAAAAAAAAAAGACTTAATTTTTATAAATTGGTAATAGTTTGGAGATTGACAGATTGTAAAAGGAACAGAAATGAAGAAACCCGTGTTTGCTTGCTAAAAAGCCTGCTACTCTTAACACCATGAACAATCAACAGATATAAACTAATTAAGAGACTATGTTTTTAAAACAAGTACTATGAATAACCACAGAAAGTAATGTTATTATAAACCATGCTTTAAATACATGATCTTTAAAAGAATATGCAATTGCTCTGCCTTGCTCTTTAAGTATTTTACAACATCTAAAAACTGGCAAGTTTAGTAAAGACAATAGTCGACATAGGCATAAGTTTTGGAAGAGTATTACACCATTGATAGTTTTAATGACAATCATAATAGTTCTGAAATGGCAAATAAAAATTCTGAACCGTGATTAGACAATGGCACCTACTGTACAAAGTTCTGATGTTGTCACAGAGGAACAGGTATTGCTTATTTTGGGGCTGAAGTGGGTACACAGCATTAGTCAGTAAGAATTAATCTGAAATCTATTTGCTCTCTTTACAGCCCTAAACTTCTACTACAGTTCCATTTATAAGTTTGAAAAAAATGTGCAACAGGTTTACATGAGAGGGATTTTCACCAAATCTTGAGCAAAATAACCATGGCATCATTCAATGAAGAAAGGTAAATTTGTCTAATTTCAATCTTGATAACTGGAAAAATTGCTATGGTAGGAAATTCTTAAAAGAATTCCAAAATAATTCTATGCTGCCATATAAAATGTTCTAATGAGCTCCAGATTGCAGCATATTAGCAAATAAAGTAGTTATTTATTTTGAAATGCAATAAATCGCTAAAAATCTAGTTAAGTAGCCTTTATGACCATCTAAATTGAGTTTTAAACTTATAACTTTAGTAATACATATACACTTACATTCAATTGTACAGAATGCAACACATTTAGTCTTAAAAAACAATATATAACAAAAAACTACAGAAATTGAGCACATGATGGAAATGCTCTGACCAATCCTACAACTGCAATGAATTTAACACTGTTAACACACATTGAACAAATCAGAGCACTGTGGAAAGGAGTTCAGTTGCTTTTACAAGTCATATTATAATTTTTAAGAGCTAAGAGACTAGGGGCAAATGGAATTCTTAGAACATTACTTAAAAATAGATTTTAAAGACAAAGATCCCAACTCCTTCTTATATACATACACCAAAGTTCATCTGTCACAGACAGCAAATGTTGAATTTACACACTGGAGTTTCTGGCAGCATCCTGTACATTTAGAATTAAAATAAACAGAGCTGTCAAATGTATCTGAGATGGATTGTTCAAATCTGTGCAGGACAGAGCACAGTTCCTCTGCAACTACTGCCTACATGCTCACTGCTGCTTCTCAAAGGCAAAAACCAAGTAAATACCTAAAAAGGAAATAAATAAAAGTTAGAGTTTAGTTTCCCATATTGGCAGGATAAACAAACAACAATTTCAATCCTGTTCATAATTTAGTGAAAATTCTTTAGCTCTCAAGTAGCATTTGAAGAGAAAAAATCCCACTAATTCTAAGAGTTACTCTACTGTTTGAGTCATTTTCAGGCAGATATGGGATGATCTGTGTGTACTTGAAAAAATATCTATCTGCAGTAATACTCAATGACACCACAGCCATGGGAAAACCAATTCAAAAGTTCTGAAAAACCTCTAAAAACAGTTGGAGGTAAGAAATATTAAAAGTTATTAAAAAAAAAACAAACTAAAACTGTCTTATGACTCAAATCTTTTTACCTGCAATGAGGTATGTAGGTAGGTAGAATTATCAGACTACAATGAGTACTACTGGCAGTGGTACTCTCAGTTTTCTATTCAGAAAAAATAAGGAACATATAGAACATAAAACTAGTAAGAAATAAGGAACATATGTAACATGACACACTAAAATTCATCCAACTTTTATGTTGTAGGGCCTGGTAAAGAGAGAGCAAGCCAGGAGCCATCAATACCATGAGATATCATTTATTTGGCCCCAACAGTAATATTTCTGCATGTATCTGGTCCCAAGAGTAATCTCCCTTAAATAAGATTTCCTGCTGTGACTCAAAAGACAGCTAAATGAATATAGGATTCCCTGTTCTGACTCACTGAAATTCAAACCTACTAAAGGCATACCTTGTTTTATGGTGCTTTGCAAATAATGTGTTTTTTACAAATTGAAGGTTTGTGGCAACCCTGCTTCAAACAAATCTGTTCACGCCATTTTTTCCAACAACATGTGCTCACTTCGTCTCTGTAATACACTTTGGTAATTCTTACAATATTTCTAACTTTTTTATTATTATTGTTATCTCTTATGGTGATCTGTGATCAGAGATCTTTGACATTACTATTGTAATTGTTTTGGGGTGCCATGAACCACTCCCATTTAAGACCGCAAACTTAATGGATAGCTGTCGTGTATGTTCTGACTGTTCCACCAATCAGCCGTTCCCCGTCTCTCTCTCCTCATGCCTCCCTAGTCTGTGAGAAACAACAATATTGATATTAGTCCAATTAATAACCCTACAATGGTCTCTAAGTGTTCAAGTGAAAGGAAGAGTAGCAATCTCTCACTTTAAATCAAAAGCTAGAAATCATTAAGCTTAGTGAGGAAGGCATGTCAAAAGCCCAGACAGGCCAAAAACTAGGTCTCTTGTACCAGTTAGAAAAGTAGTAAATGCAAAGGAGTTCTTGAAGGAAATTAAAAATGCTACTTCAGTGAACATACAAATGATAGGAAAGCAAAATCACCTTATTGTTAGTATGGAGAAAATTTCAGTGGTCTAGATAGAAGATCAAACCAGCCACAACATTCCCTTAAACCAAAGCCTAATCCAAAGCAAGACTCTAACTCTCTTTAACTCTATGAAGGATGAGAGAAGTGAGAATGCTGCAGAAGGAAAGCTAGAAGCCAGCAGAGACTGGTTCATGGATTTAAGGAAAGAAGCTGTCTCTATAACATAAAAAATAGAGCAAGGTGAAGCAAGGAAGTATGGATATAGAAGCTGCAGGCAAATTACCCAGAAAATGTAACTAAGACAATTGAGGAAACTGGCTACACTAAACAACTGATTTTCACTGTAGACAAAACAGGCTTCTATTGGAAGAAGATGCCATCTAAAACTTTCCCAGAGAGAAGTCAACACCTGGCTTCAAAGCTTCAAAGGAGAGGCTGACTTTGCTGTTAAGGACTATAATGCAGCTGGTGACTTTAAGTTGAAGCCAGTGCTCATTTACCATTTTGAAAATTCCTCAGTCCTTAAGCATGACACTCTACCTGTGGAAGGGAAATGGAAGAACAAAGCCTAGATGATAGCACATCTGTTTGGAAGAAACTGATTCTGACTCTCGTGAATGACTTTGAGGGGTTCAAGACTTTAGTAGAGGAAGTAACTGCAGATGTGGCAGAAACAGCAAGAGAATTAGAATTAAAAGTGGAGCCTGCAGATGTGACTGAATTGCTGCAATCTCATAAAACTTGAATGGATAAAAAGTTGCTTTTTATAGATGAGCAAAGAAAGTGGTTTCTTGAGATGGAATCTATTCCTGGTGAACATGCTATGAACTTTGCTGAAACGACCGCAAAGGATTTAGAGTATTAAACGTGGGTGACAAAAGCAGCAGCAGGGTTTGAGAGGATTGACTTCAATTCTGAAGGAAGTTCTACTGTGGGTAAAATGCTATCAAACAGCATGGTATGCTACCGAGAAATCTTTCATGAAAGGAAGAGTCAATAGATGCAGCAAACTTACTTTAAGAAATTGGGCAGGGTGTGTCAGTGCTCAGTCCTATAATCCTAGTACTGCGGGAGGATTGCTTGAGGCCAGAAGTTCAAGACCAACCTGAGCAACAGCGAGACCCTGACATAGCAAGATCACGTCTCTACAAAAAATTTAAAAAATCTCTACAGGCATGGTGCACACCCATAGTCCCAGCTACTCAGGAGGGTGAAGCAGAAGAATCACTTGAGCCCAGGAGTTTGAGGTTGCTGTGAGCTGTGATGATGCCACTGCATTCTAGCAGAGGCAACAGAGTGAGACTCTGTCTCAAAGAAAAAAAAAATTGCCAAAGCCATCTCAACCTTCAGCAACTGCCACCCTGATCAGTCAGCAACCATCAATATTGAGGAAAGACCCTCCACAAGCAAAAACATCAGGACTTGCTGAAGGTTCAGATGATTGTTGCCATTTTTTAGCAATAACATATTTTTAAATTAAGAAATGTACATTGTTTATTCAGACATAATGCTATTGTACACTTACAGTATAAACATGAATTTTATATGCACCAGGAAATAAAAACAATTCATGTGACTCACTTCATTATGGTATTTGCTTTATTGCAGTGGTCTGCAATCCCAATGGTCTGGGAACCAAACCCATAATATCTCCAAGGTATGCCATCTTCTAATAAGATACCAACAGATTTTATGGTAAGAAAATACTTGAGAAGGTGACAAATCCTGAAAACACCACAAGGATGTTCAACGCATGCACTAGAACAGCTGACAGTGAGTCAAGATAAAGGCCACGTAAATTGGAGACGGTGCTCCTTAAGTTGACTTTGAACAGAGGGCAGATGACTGAAGGCATACTGCATCAGAGTCTCCCCAGACTATAGCTTCTTGCCCTTCCTACTTAACCTGTACAGGATACCACACCAGTTTTTCCAAAATACTACCTTGGCCATGCTACTCTCCTGCTCTATATTTACTAGTTTTTGATTTCTTTCAGTTGAAATGCAGTGTGGCTAGTGGTACAGTGACAGAAGGACAGAAAATAGGCAGAGTGATTAACCCTGCAGCTCCTGCCAGCAGATAAGGAAGCAAAGCAGTCTACAGCACTCACAGCATGCCAACAGACTCACAACTGGCCAGCATCACTTACCTTGTCCCCCACTTAAGTGATCTTTCTGCAGTTCAACCCTGCCAAATCCCACCCCCTACACACCCACACCCTTCAGTTCAGTCCTGTCCGTCCTCATTTAGGGTCATTTAAAACCACTAAAATGCTGGAGTCTGATTTTGAATTCACAATTAGTACCTTTCCCTTTCTAACTCAAAACTTCTGAAAGTCCCACTCATTATATAAAACGCCTTCTATGCAGGCATTTCAATTGGGATTTAAAAGAACAAATCTTGAACTACTTCCTTTCCAAAAGCCAATCAGTGGCAATTTTCTACTTTCCTTTCTCATTTAAAGCATCTTCTAGAGGAGGAGCTGGCTATGGCAATAAGAGCTTAATGATCAGGCCAGAAGTCTACAACATAACTTTCCTAGACTGATTAGACTTCTAATGCCAGGCAAGACACTTCTCGGTCCACAAAGCCCTCCAGCTTAGAACAGTATAATTTATCTAAGAGCCACCTGATCCTGGAATGCTAGATGCTGGCTGCAATCTGGCTACTGCTCTTTTACCACTTTTCACAGGTCCAACCTGTCTACGGCCATCTAATGCTTCATGTGTTATCTAATTCTTTAATTGTATATTATGAATCGAAGTCCACGCTTAATATAAACATGAGGTTCTAAGCTACAGCTAGTACCACCATCATGCCCTTGACCAAAACTCACACCATACTATGGGACTGACAGGATAACTAAGATACGTGGCCAGTCTCTACTACAGGGAAAAAGTAATAAAATATATACATTTGTGCTCAAATCCCCAGTCAAGGGCAATCATGTCTGTAATACATCCTCCAAATCACTTTCTAGTAATGCTCTTAATATTCAGAGACAGGCTCAAAATATTGGCCCTATTTGTCATCTTTCCTTTTCCTATCTATCCAATTCAGCAGGTCTTATGAAATTGTCCCTTCACAAGAACTCCCATGAGGCCATGGTTAAGATGCATCATTTAGGTCAGTTAACCATTTAGCTCTGTGACCTTGGGTAAGTTACTTGTTTCCAATCATACACACTTCTAACATACCCTGCTTGTTGCTGCTTCACTAAATATTCTAGGATTATGCCTTCACTGCCAACATCTGAGTGACCAGAATCAAATAAAATCATGAAGTGTTTTATATGCCAAATATTCCAATAGAAATCTGAAGTAAAGACATCAATTAGAGATGGCTGTTTGGTACAAATAGGCAATGAAAATGTATACATATGCTCCTGAAAGTTATGCTGAGCACCATCCTGCATTCAGTACACACAGCTGTGCAAGAAAGGGGGATTAGACATATGTATGGATATACATACATTTGTGTGTGTAAACACAACACACACGATCTAAAATGTGTCAGAAAAACTCTAAGGTTTTCAGTTTTTAATAACTTCGAAACAGGATCTTTTGAACTGTCAGTTAACCCACACTAATGATATACTCACTTGTAGCTTCCCATTCTGATTTACTTAAGGTTCCCTAAAATTAAAGAGAAAAAGAAAGAAAATTTTAGATTCAGTATGGAAGTGAACATACAGTTATTTTTCAATAATGGACAGAGGTGGCCAAAAGACCCTAACTTCACTGTAAATATACATAAAATTCAGTTAATAGTATTGTGATCTGAGCACATAAAAGAAATCAATGAGATTAACTTTCAAGGCCATCTTCTCACCTCTTTTGCCCCCTGCCAAATTCTCTAGTTTACAGATTCTCAACCAAAGGGTGAATGTGTATAAAGAGGGTGTGTGTGTGTGCAACTGGAAAAAGTATATTTTTAAATTGGAAAATGAATTAAAAAGTCGATTTTGAAATATAAAATAGTACTGGAGGAAGAACTAAGATTTTTGTATTTTTCCAAAGGAATCACTAAATCACTAATAAAGTATATAACCCTAAGAAAATAAATTATATTTAAGTAGCTATCAAAATATGAAAAAAGTACGTACTGCTTTGCACATTCCATTAACTAAAAGGATCTAATGGCAGTTCTAGTAATTAGTGTCAAAAAGGATACATAATATCCTAAGATGTTAGAAGAAATGTGCTATGAAAGTATCTATAATTTCTACTGATGACAAAGTCACAGCTACAGTTAATACTCAAATGCAGGCTTTCACACAGAAGTTAGAAAAAATGAAGATGTAATTTTTCACCATTTAAATCATGGACTCCTGCATTCTATCTAAGGAATGCTGTAAGCAAGTAGTCATAACAAGTCATCCTAACTTAGGGAAAACAAACTATTGTACATCTGATTTGTAAGTCAGTGAGACCAAGTATTATAAGAAGTGAAATAATCTAAGTCTCCATATAATGCATGCTTTCTTTTTCCATTTCTACAAAATACTTTTAAAAATGCATACTTACCAAAGGTAACCTTACTTGACTTTTCTTCATGTACTTTGCTGCATGTTCATAGTCATCCACCTTCTCAGAGGCAAGTTTAGAATTCTCGTTTGCAGGATATGGCTGGGGAAGCAAATTAAAGTCCTAGTTAAGATTTTATAATTCAGAATTAAGCACACAATCACTGAAATAAAATAATTAGGAGAATAATCCCTAAATATTACTACTTTACGAATACAAATTACATATACTTTTCAAATATGGGGGGAAAAAAAGGGGGCAGGATCCTCTCTTAAAGCAGCAATTATGGCCAGCTTTTATCACAATCTTAAGATATTTACAGCTGGAGTAGACTACAGAACTTAATCACAAGGACCATTTAGCAGCAAATACTGGCATCTTCTTAACTGCTAGTTAAGGGCTTTTTCTGTTACAACAGAAAGCTTAAAAAGAGGGTATCATTGAAAGAACTAAATATTAAAATCATAGCAATGTAATAGCCATGAAAAGCATAAACAATTAGAATACAAACGAAAATGTTAAGTCAACAGAGAACCCTATTTAAGATAAAAAAAAAAATGTGAGTTTAAGAAGATAAAAAAATATAATCCAACCTCCAAAGCACAGGCAGTTCCCATATTTATGTAAGAGTCTGAAGAAGGGTCAGAAAAAAATGCTGGTTTAAAAGTGTTAGCCAAATGTTTTCAAATTACTTTATTTAATAGAATGACCATCCACTCTACAAAGGTTATATATTTTTCATAATGTAGTCATTTATATGATAATTCTTTAACTTTTAAGAAAATGATTCATGAATATCTACTTTGCTATCTTCTTTTTCCCTTTTCTTTATAAGTATCCTAGAGCAAGCTCAGGCATTGAAAACAAAACTATTTAATATTTACTTGCTGTTTAAAAAGTATTTGGCTACTTGAGACTTCAACGCTGCCAGCATGAGCAACTTTACTTTTTATTACATCTTAATGCAAGGGATATAAGAAAGAACATTTATTATCACTAAGCTTTACTGAATTTCTATTTCAAGTGTTATAGTTCTGCCATATTACAAAGTATCAGAACTTTATTTTGAATGACTACCAAACTATTCTGTTGTAAATCTGTTTCTTCAATTCATCATGACTCCTCTGCATGATTTTGTGCCTATCACTGGACTTCCAGTTTCTCTGTTCTATTGATCATTTCCGAAGACCAACCACATATACGATTATAAAGCTGCAAAACTGATCTTTTTTCAAAACTTTCTAAAATGTATATATCCTGGTAAGTCTCCTCTCAAAGAAGTTACTTTTCTAGAACTGTTACCAGAATAAGTTCACTGGTGAAAAAAGGGAAAATAGGCATCAGGACTATAACTACAGTTCCTTGGGCCACATGCATCTTTTTATTCTTTCTTCCTCTGCTCCAGTGCTCCATGAAAGCAGAGAAGTTTCTCTAGTGCTGAGCCCATCTGAAAGATGAATGCTTCAGGAAAAAAACCTTTTACGGCAAATATCAAGAAATAGATCCATTTAAGTCTCTGACCTGGACTAAAGCAGTAAAGCTCTGACTGCTTTTTCCACCTCTGGTGTGGTCTCAATGTCCCCACAAACTGTCCACCCAAATAATGTCTTAACTCTTATGGGGTCATGTCCTTTCCTGCTCCAACTCCTTTACAGGCCTACAGGAGTGACTTGGTCAAGAAGCAGGGAAACGAAAGGATTTTTTCAAATTACATGCTATTATTGCCCATGTACCCAAACAGCTGTCATGAAAGGTCATATCCTCCAGGGCAGTACTGGGGGAGAAGGAAGACTGCTAAAGAAACAGGAAAGTTATTAGTATTTCTTCAAAACAGTCCCTGCTTTCTCCTGCTTCTCTGCCTTTCCCCTCAGTCTTCTTCCTTCTCCAAAGGCATTCTATAAACTCTTTGCACTGCATATAATAAAAAGAATGGAACATTTGTTGATTATGGGTTTCAAACACAATTCAGGGTTTAAATAAGATTCTCCGACTCAAAATTGTGGGGGTGGCTGAGTTTGGATGCAACTTCAATAGGAGACTTTTGTTTGAATACCACCTATAAAAACTGAAGAAAACCCAAGTAAGTAGCCATGTGACCCTGGACAAGTCATTTATCCTCTGAGCCTCAGGCTGCTCATGTAAAACATGAAAAGTAACTGCTCTGCCTACTTCATGGGGGGTAATTATGAGGACAAATAGGACAAAATATGCTTAAAGTACTTAAAAGAACATTCTGAATTGAATAAACTCTCTAAAGAAGTTTAATGCCCATTTGACAGATATGATTCTGCAGATCAATGGCAAAAATGCTCAACAAATAATTTAGATTTGTCCAATTAAATACTGTTTGATAAAGAGAAAAAGGAAAAGCAATTAATCAATGGCTGTATGCTTATAACTTAGACTACCTTCACTTCTGCATTAGAAGCATAGGAGTCAAGGAGGTAAAGCAAGTCTCAGCAACAACAGTCTAAAAGACTGGAACCTGACTATAGAGTCATCATAGAACAAAATTACCCGCGGTATGACCTTGTCTTGGACACTAGCCAGGAAGGTTAGAAATTACTATTGTAACCAAAGGGAACTGTTTAAAGAAGTGGTTTTCAACTGGGGGCAATTCTGCCCAACAGGAGATATCTGGCAATGGCTGGAGACATTTTTTGGCTGTCATAACTGGGATACAGGGGTGCTACTGGCAAGCATCCAGAGGATAGAAGCCAGCAATGCTACTGAATATCCTACAATGCACAGAACAGCATCTCACAACAGAGAATTATCCAGTCTAAAATGTCAACAGTCCTAAGGTTGAGAAATCCTATTTTAAAGCAGTACTATCTAGAAAATAGAATTTGATAACAGTATTCATTCTTTCATAAAGTATTTACTGACTACCCACCATGCAAAGTTTCTATATGAAGCTGTCCTAGTTGCTGAAGAATCCAGAGCAGTTACAACCTGTGTAACATACGTAACTATTTAGTGTCTAAATGGCCTTGAAAGGATCTCAAAAATAGCCATACAAGTTCCCCATGATCTGGAATTTTTGTAACTTTTCCAAATACTCACCTCCAGGCCCTGCATTCGTTTTAACAGCATTTTATTTTCATTGTTCTTAATTTTTTCTTCATAGAATTCCAGAAATGTTTTTTTGTAGACTAGTTTCATATTGTACTTCTTCACCATTCTGTCCAAAAAAGATTAATGAAAAGGCTTCCAAAATGTTTGTAATTCCTGAATAGTTTACTTTTGCATAACAGTGACATCTTCTGGACTTAACTTAAAAAGCTACCACTTCCTTCATAAATTCACAATAGAGTAATGCAAAATGAATTAAGAGTAACCTATTCATAAGCACGCCAGAAAAAAACATGCATTTTAAATTGGGGGGGGGGGGCTGCAGATAGCTCTCTATTAGTATAACAAATAGGTCAGGAAGCAAAATGAGAGGAAGCCATAGGGGTTGTGAGACAGGGAATAAGGGCTACAGGGCATACTTTCCTACTGATTCCATTAACACCAGCACTGAAAACAGCTGCCAGCTTCTTTACTGAAAAATTTGCTCTTATCTCTTGGCTTCTCTGGGAAGACACACTGTTAATTTTTACCTGACATCTCATACTGCTTCTTTGCAGTTTTTTATTTTGTTTTGTACTCAGTTTTCTTTTTTACCCAACTTCTAAACTTTAAGGTCTTGAGTTTGACCCAGAGCCTACACTTCTCCCCCTGAAGAGAGCCGAAGTTATCTGCAGCTCAGCTCTCTCTTTTGTCACACCCATAGATGCCACTGCTTATCAGAAATCTTCACCTGGATGTGTCACTGGCATTCTCTAGCTTCCCATATCTAGGGCTGAACCTCACTGAATTTTTTCTCTGCCAATCCTATCTTAGTAGATCCATCTAATGATTCATGCCACCTCCCTTTCCTACTCCCACTAATGCCTCTCTACCTTACTTGGAGAAGGTCCACATTTGCCACCACCTGCTTCCATCCACAGCCCCATTCAGCAGTAACAGTGCAGGAACCACTGTGCCCATCTCCTATTCCATTTTTACTCTCCCTCAATGAATTTTCCAACTGTGGCTGGATTAAGCTTTCAGAAATACATATCTAGTCATGTCACTGCCCCCTTTAACACCCTTCCCTGGGCTCCAGCACACTTAGGACACAAGCCAAAAGTCTTGAACATGGCCTCTAAGGCACTCATTTATAAAGGGATGCTGCCTAATCTTGAGCCTCTTAGGCCTGGCTTCCCTCAGATCCATTCTCAATGGCTTTCTCTCAATTCCTTGAACTGTCAAGCTTTCTCACTTCAGGGCTCTCACATATACTGTCGCCCTGTCGGGACACTATTCTTTCCAGTCTTCAACTGACCACCTCTATTCCTCCTTTAGATCCTGACTTAAAGATCACTTCTCTAAGGGTATCTTCCTTAAATCTTCAACTGCATTATGTCTCCCTGTTAGATCCTCAGGTTTTTTTTTTTTTTTTGCCTTCACTGCATTTGCCAAGTTTATATTTCTGTAGACAACATGAGGGAGCTTGGAGATGATTTCAGGCAGCATGTAAAGGAAGAGAGGAAAAAAGGGGGGGAAATCCTAAAAAGGTAAGTGGAGGGCTTGTGTGTAGGGTGACAGTTGAGGGGACAGGGTAAGGGGAAACATGGGAGGGCTGCAGGATTTGTACCTAAGAGGCACTGTAATGCAGGATTCTGTTATCTGAATTAGTCCTTCTTGGAAAGACAACATGAACAAAGGCAAGTCTCTTTTATTCTAGAAAATTACTTTTCTTTCATAAATCTCCAAAACAAGCCTTTAGAAATGAAACCAAGTTTTATATTTAAAAAATATCATACTTACAAAGAACTGAGAACAAATGTGACAATTATGAATAGGTTTTGCCATATAAAAGCTAATTATATTTTTGTTGGTTTGTTTGTTTTTTTGACACAGAGCCTCACTCTGTTACCTAGGCTAGAGTGCCATGGCATCAGCCTGGCTCACAGCAACCTCAAACTCCTGGACACAGGTGATCCTCCTGCCTCAGCCTTCCAAGTAGCTGGGACTACAGGCATGTGCCACCATGCCCGGTTAATTTTTTCTATATATTTTTAATTGTCTGGCTAATTTCTTTCTATTTTTTAGTAGAGACGGGGTCGCATCTTGCTCAGGCTGGACTCAAACTCCTGAGCATGAATGATCCACCCGCCTCAGTCGCCCAGAATGTTAGGATTATAGGCGTGAGCCACCACGTCCGGCCTCAGTTTCTTAACAAAATGGCAAAAGGACATCTCAAACCTATACATTTTCAGATTCTGTCTCATCTAAAACCTGTTTCAATGAATAATTTTTAAAAAATTAGACATTAAACTGATGACTTATAACTTTATATTAATAGGTTTATTATAATTAGGCAATTTTAAGTGAAAAAGATTGCTAGCATTTGCTTAACATTTAAAAAATCTTTTGTTTTATTCTTTTATCTTTTGGGGTATGCTAAAATCACCACTTAGTTAACTAAAAACTAAAAAACTAACACACTAAACATACAAAATATACCAAAGACAACTGTTTAATTTATTCTTCCATAAAGTTAAAAGTGGTAACATTTTTGTCAAAGTGTACTAACTTTAAAAATTAAAAAACAAAATGTGATTTGAATTTTTAAATTTTATAAATTGCTTATATTTATAAAATTGTGCATAGTATTTTTCTCATGTTAAGTCACAATGCTATTTGACTTTCTTATATTAAAATATAATATATAAAATTTTTACATATTATAGAACTCCGGGAAATCCTATACCTGTAATTTTACAGACTGAGTCACCATTCAAATAGTTACCAACCAAAAATAAGCAGACAATAAAGCTCTTCTTTTTCTCAATATTCAAAATAAAAAAATTTTGTTTTTAACAAGTAGAAAATCAAGTTTGATCAATTATGATGTGGCCTATATTTAAGTTGACTTTTATGCTTTCCTTGTCAGGGAAATTCTGGTGAACAAGGTATATCACAAGGCCTTGAAGCCTTACCTGAGAAAGCCCGTAACCCCCAGCTTTTCCCGTTTCTACAGTTTGCCAGGATTCCTACGAAGTCAGGTGCATGGGGGAAGACATTCCTGAATTAGGATTTTATGACCAACATTGCCTTGGAGACACAGGCAACTTCAAAGTTGTACTGAAATGCAAGCAACTTTTAATACCTATCTCTGTCAAAAGGAGGGTCTTTGATTGATGAAGACTCATTGTATATTACCAAAGTTACTAGCAGTCACTTAGAAAGAAAAAAAAATTGCTATTTGCAATGTCAGTCATTTTGTGCCACAAGGTGAAGGCAACTGGCTCCCTTTGTTAGCCACAGGGTAAAATTCCAAGAATGAAAGAAAAGTTAGGCTGTTAAGAGACCTATGGCACCAATCCTAGATGTAAGGCTTTTTTGCAAGGTTATACTTTTTCTTTGGGCCACATTTAAAATAAGGAATGAAAAACAACACTGATTTTTCCCCCTTTTCTTTCTCTCTTAAGACAAAAAGAGAAGAGTAATAGATTAATAGCATTCTTACTCATTTAGCAATGGAAAATACACCAAGAATTCAGGGACATCCACAACACCTTCCAAGTTGAAGTCATATTTGCAGCCAAATAAAGGATAATATCCTTTCTTCTGAAATTTCACAGTATATATTTCATTTCCAAATGATTCTGTTTCTGAAGCTTCCAGGCGTCTTCTATCAGGGTTATCCCCCAACCAAAATAAAAAGATTAAAATTGTGAATAGCATAGACTTATTTTGTCAGATTATGCACATGAAAAATTACATAACACAACTTTAAAAGATACTTGATTAGCTTTTTAATTGGATTTGAACTACTTTTAAGAAGCAATATACTAAAAGATCACTAGCAGGCTTACCAAAAAAAATTGGCTGGAAGTATGTATCACTCTTATGAAAGCTGGTTAAGCCTCTGTGTACCTGACCTGAAACTTTGCCTACCACTATAACTTTGGTCTCCTAACACATAAAGAGGTTTTAAAAGTTCATCCATAAATTTGTCTTTTGAACTTAAACTTTGAATATCTACTCAAATACATTATCAAAATGTTCAGCACTTGTGAGATTAACATGGCATATTTTGTAAAATCTATTTCTGATAAACATTTACTGCTTAATATTGTATGCTCAATACCAAATATTTTGTAAGCTACAATATATTTAGTAGTACTTACATCAGTTCAAAGCTATTGGGGGTAGTACCAATAAAATAGCCCCCAGGACTAAGTCTCTCACAGGCATTTCTGAGCATCATATCAGCCTGCTCATAGGACTCAAATGAGTAATGGCAGACAAACTGACAACTGCAGATGTCAAAGCACATTCCTGGGTCATGAAATTTGTCCATCAAAAGTTCCTAAAACAAATTAAAATGGGTTAAGAGTCTGAAGTAACTACAACACAGATTAAAAACTTTTTAGTAAATTAATTTGTAGAATTTAAGGTTCCTCCTTTTCCTCAGTCTTCAAACTATCCTTTCTCTTCTGCAGTAAGGGCCATAAAGAAATCATTCATTTATTTTGGTTTAACAGAATAATCTGATTTCCATTTTCATGGTATTTAAAAACTTAGGGATTCTGAAATCATGTTAAAATAAATTGGTCAAATATGACATTTAAAGTTGATCCTTTCACCAGCTTTACTTGGGAGCTAACGTAAAATGGCATTCAACAATAACTTGATAACTTGGGTTAAAAAAAATACCTGGTCTTTAGCATTTAAAAAAATTCATGTTGTTTGGAAGGTAGAAAAAACCCTACCAGACTCTGACACGTTGGGAAAGTACCCTAATAAATTACAAGGTAAACAAAAACATACTGTAAGTTCAGTTCTATTTCAAAATACTGGAAAATAAATCTTGTCCAAACAGAAGAGCAACAAGTGATTTCAACAACTCAATTTAAGTAAAAAATTACCAGAAGTGCTTGGTAGGTCATTTAAGGGAATTTATCATAACAGAATTTCTAGTTGAAAGTGAAAATGCATGTCCTTAAGATTTTTAATGTTTCAAAGCACATTTTAAAAAGTGAGGTTTTTAAAACAAATCATTTACCCAAACAAATCATTTTACATTTTAAAAATGTAAAAAATAAATTGGCCAAAAGAAGAAACTGTACCTTTGAGCAGTCAGCAGTTATAAATTCTGCACTGAAAATATATTCGTTATCACGACGATTTTTCATGTCTTCATACCGCTGCTGACACTGTTTGACAGAAACATCAGCAATATCTGGAAGGACAGAAAGGTGATAGTAACCATCCAGACAGAATGGCACAAATCACAACTGATCTCAACTAATAAACTTCAGCATGAAATCCAGCCTTAGCCCCAGTGAAAAGCTTCTATTTCCTTTAAAACAAAAGTCTTTTTCCAATGCAAATATGCTATTATTTTTCAAAAGGAACTAAAATCTTTCTCAATAGGTACTGATACCAGAAAAGTTCTTATGATTTTTAAATGCTTATTCAAAGAAAAAGTAGAAAGTTTATATTCCAATCTGAATTATAAAATTTAACACCATCTATAAGCCCACTTTTGGAAAAACCAAGTTTCTGTTTCTATAATAAAATGTCATTTGTCCTTTTCTCTATTTTGAGATTTGCACTGATGATGCAAAGGCAATAGGGGGTAAAATACTGGCACCTTATTACAAATACAAAAGCAGTGGTACTAAACAGTATGGTAGTACTCCATAAATTCTTCACCACTATATACTACGCAGGGGGAAAAGCCAGTTTTTCATTTAGGAATGCCCTTCATAAAGCAGTAAAAATTAATTTTATTAAATCTTGACTCTAGGATACATATATTTTAATATTGTGTGATGAAATGGGATGTAACAAAACATTTCTGCCACATAAAGTTTGATGGTCACCATAAATAACAGCCTTGGTATGACTGTACTTCTGAGTTGTGAGCTATACTGGCCACTTTTTTCATAGAAAATCATTTTGACTTGGAAAAATGATTGACAAACTATGGTTATTCAGACTTGAGTATCTGGCACACATATTCTTGAAGATGAACAAAGTGAACCTATAACTTAAATGAAAACAATGGATAGCATATTTATTGCCAAAGATAAAACTTGACTTTCAAGGAAAAAATACAATTCTGAAAAACTTAGATAGACCACCGTGTGCCAGACTTCTTCCCAGTACTTGGACTTTTCTCATCAGCGGTGATATTAAACAAATGTGATGTCTTGATGCCAAATGTAGAAGATCTACATAACTTTAGTAAACAATATTTTCCAAATATTATAAAATCATGAAGGAATTGCATGACAAAGTAATAGATTTGAATATAACACAATAAGAAAAGTTCATCAATAAAGTTTCAGATTCCATATTGTAACTAACCTTTAAGAAATTACCACTTATCAAGTTTTGATGTAGTATCAAAGAGGAATATCTACAACTATCAAAAATGGCTATCTCGAGGGAATCAAGATGGCGGACAAGAAACACTGCCAGACAGAGTGTCTCTGCAGAAAAGACAGATTCCAGCAGAAATTAGAAAAAAGAAGCAAGAAGACGAGCCTACATCGGATGAGGGTCGGAAGGAGGAATACCTGAGACCATGGGAGACACCACGGGAGGAGGTTGCGGAGGAGAACTGGAAGCTGGGACCTCCGGAGCAGCCCGGAGTCCAGTGGGAAGTGTAGGTGGTTCGGCCGTTTCCCCTCCCCTGCATCTGGGACTGCTGGTGGGCTCCCCAGCGGGTGGAGAGACCTGCGGACATCAGTCGAGCGACGCCGCCGCCAGTGAGCGGTAAGCCAGTAGCGGACACGGCACCAGGCTCCCAACTCCCTCCGGCACCTTCGTGTGCACAGACCCGAGCCACGCGGCAGGCGCCATATTGCCTCCTCCTCCCCTCCCCCACACTACCCGCGGCTGCCCAGAGAGACAATATAGCCACCAGCCGGAGGCACCTACAGGGAACGGGACCTTCCTTTTTGGGGCCCTACAGCTGACTAAGGGGAACTCACACTGTGAGCTCCCTACCCGCCAGCCCTCCCAGGTGCTGCTGGCACGGTGATCCCAGGAGAACGGGGCAGATCCTGAGGGTGAGAGACATAGACACAGCTTGGGCTCCCCGTGGGTGAATTGGGACTGGCACTCCTCTCCCTGGTGGGGATATAGTTTGAACTCTGGGACCCAGAGGTCAGACCTGCAGACCAGATCCCATGCACCGAGGTCTCGCATTGCCCGGGGCACAGAAGGGATATAGGTGAACAGCCTGTTGAGGTGTGTGTGCCTCCAGGGGGAGATCAGCGTCCTAGAGGGCAACCCTCCCCCCAAAGGGAGGCTGTGCGCCCAGCCCAGGTGGCATTCCAGCGCAGGGAAACTCCCCGCCGGCATCACAGGCAGGGAAGGCCTGGTGGCGTGTGGTCTGGCCTGCTGTCAGACACCCAGGAGTAGCCACAGAGATGGGGACTGTGGAAAGAAGCCAGGTCCCCTTCAGACTGCGGGTCTGAGACAGCCCCAACCCCCCACGCAGACTCTCTGACTGAGCCGTGCCATTCCAGCCCCTCCCTGACAGCTTTGCCTGGAAGCACAGAACAGAACTTTGACCCCTGCTAACTACATTGGTGGTGCCTGAGGGCACGCTTACCCAAACCAGCTCTGCCCAGACTCACTACCAGACCAGCACTCACTGAGGGGGAGAAAAGGACACACCTGGAAGTCCCAGGGCCCCGCCGACCATGTGAGGCACTAGAGTGCCTCTCTAAAGGAACAAGAGTTGATAACAGGACACAAAATCAACAGCGTAGCCTGTTCCTCCAAGCAAGTGCCACCTACTGACAGGGAGGGCATCTTGCACACCCTTTTCACGGCATCTACTGACTCATTATACAGGGAGTAGTTGAATCTCACCCACAGACACCACCTACCGGCTCAGAAACTAAACAAGGTGTGTGAATGCCCAAACAAAAACCTAATGGAAAGAAACAACAACTGATCGACATGGGAAGAAATCAGTGAAGGAACTCCAGAAATATGAAGAACCAAACAGAAAACACACCCCCAAAGAGGAATACCAGCTCCCTAGAAACAGACACCAACCAAAATCAGGCAACGAAAATGACAGAAGAGAAATTTCGAACGTGGATCATCAGAAAATTCAATGACCTGCAAGAACAACTCATTAACTAACAAAAAGAAACCACAAAAAGCCTCCAGATCCAAAAAAAGGATCTGGAACAAAAGTTCACTAAAGAAATTGACACAATGAAGAAAAGTTTAACCGAACTCCTAGAAAAGAAGAATCAATTCAGGGAACTACAAAATACAGTGCAAAGTCTTAAGAACAGGGTAGATCAAACTGAAAAAAGAATCTCAGAGATTAAAGATAACACCCTCCAATTAAATAAATCAGTCACAGAGAGCAGAGAAACAAGAGAAAAGAGCAAAGCCTACAAAGAGATGTGGGATTATGTGAAGAAACCTAATGTGAGGGTCATAGGGTTACCAGAAGGGGAAGAAGACAACACTCAAGGGTTAGACAAGCTATTTGAAGATATAATAGAGGAAAATTTTCCAGGCCTTGCTCAAAATCTCGATATACAAGTTCAAGAAGCTCAGAGGACCCCTGGGAGATTCAATGCAAACAGGAAGACGTCACGACATACAGTCATCAGACTGACCAAAATATCAACTAAAGAGGCCCTCCTAAGAGCTGTAAGATGAAAGAAGCAAGTAACATATAGGGGAAAGCCAATTCGAATAACACCAGACTTCTCTAATGAGATTTTAAAAGCAAGGAGAGACTGGGGCCACATTCTCACTCTTCTGAAACAAAACAATGCCCAGCCTAGAATCTTATTCCCTCCAAAACTAGGCTTGATATATGAAGGAGAAATAAAGACATTCTCAGACAAGCAAAAGTGCACATCTCACTCATTACTATATGTACTAGCTACGGCACCCTCGTGGCCCACATACCTGCATTGACCTGGTACGTCACCTATGGTGGTCCACGTTAGGTGCTGTCAGTTTAGATACCAGTACCATTAACGCTGATAAAGAAGGTCAAATGACATGAATGCTCACACTCGTTTTACATACACCAATTCTCTGGGATCACATCCCCTAACTTAGTAGTATGAGTTCCAGCTGTAACCAGGAAAATATAAGATGTGCTATATCACCGTTGTTTCTTAGAGCTGAATAGTACTCCATGGATACATATACCACATTTATTAATCCATTCTTGATTGATGGGCACTTGGGCTGTTTCCCAGCTAGCAATTATGAATTGTGCTGCTATAAACATTGAGTGCAGTATCTTTTTTGTAGAGTGTCATTGGATCTTTTGGGTAGATGCCCAGCAATGGGATTGCTGGATCAAATGGTAGATTAACTTGTATCGCTTTAAGATATCTCCATATTGCTTTCCACAGAGGTTGAACTAGTTTGCAGTCCCACCAGCAGTGTAGGAGTGTTCCTCTCTCTCCGTATCCACGCCAGCATTTGTTATTTGGAGACTTTTTGATAAGGCATTCTAACTGGAATTAAGTGATATCTCATTGTGGTTTGATTTGCATTCCTTCATGATTAGAGATGTTGAGCATTTTTCATATGTTTGTTGGCCATTCTTTTGTCTTCTTTAGAAAAGTTTCTGTTCAAGTCTTTGCCCACTTTTAATAGGGTTATTTGATTTTTCTTGCTGATTTTCGTGAGTTCTAAGTATATTCTAGTTATCAGCCCTTATCGGATGCGTAGGATGCAAAATTTTCTCCATTCTGTAGATTATCTGTTTACTTTCATGATGTTTCTTTGGCTGTGCAGAAGCTTTGTACTTTGATCATGTGCGCATTTATTTATTTTTGTTGCTGCTGTGATTGCCTTTGGGGACTTCTTCATAAACTCTTTGCCTAGGCTGAGTCTAGGAGAGTGTTTCCAACATTTTCCTCTAAATTCTAATAGTTTCATACCTTAGGTTTAGCTGTATCCAGGCGTGAGTTATTTTTGTGAGAGGTGAAAGGTGTGGGTCCTGCTTTAGCCTTCTACAAATGGGTATCCATTTCCAGCACCATTTATTGAAAAGGGATTCTTTTCCCAGCATATGTTTTGTCTGCTTTGTCAAAGATTAGATGGCTATATGAGGATGGTTTTATATCAGGATTCTCACATCTGTTCCACTGGTCAATATTCTATTTGTGGCAATACCAGATTGTTTAATTACTACAGCTTTGTGTATAGTTTGATATCTGGGCTTTAATA